TAGGTAAGAGAAAAACTCATCGATTGTATAGGGGCTACTTTCAAAAAATAGTTGTTTTATTTTATGTTTCAATACTTCTTCCTTGGTTATAATAAATAAAAACCACTTGTCCTAACATAACGGTCGACACAGCAGTATCGTGAAGCTTTGGCAATCATAGCTGGTGTGAGAAATTATATAATCACAAATATGGAATATTTGTGGAAATTTGAAGAGATCATGGAAGTGCCTACTATTCCAAAACCTCCAGCTATAGAAACATATCAATGAAGGCTACTAGAACCAAACTTGATGCATGTGTTAGCCGAAACCGTTAAAGGCAAAATGCTATAAACATTTTGTAATAGACACTAAAAGGATTATTTGGCCAAAAACAAACACCTTCAGCACTTTCCATTGTGCCCATTAGGACTTGATCACTGGCGAATAACCTGCTACCTCCTGCCACGATATGACATTGCCAGTATAACCATTCTGAGCTTCCTTGATGATTTTCCAGGATTCTTTCAGTTTATACAAATTTCTCTTTATGGGGTTGTCGGGTGGTTACTCTGAATAATGTTGGACGACAGACTTTTCTGATATTACAGAAAGCACATACGGGAATTGTATGGATGATCCCATGTTTATTGGTCAATACTGGGTTCTGATATCGAAAAATTGATAGAAAAATGTGTCAGTAAACTAAGCTTATGCCACCCGTGGGTTCAACTACGTCGCGATTTTTCTGAACCATTAGAAAGCTATTATTTTCTCATTGTTGTTGATGCCTATTCCAAATGGCTCGAAAAACATAATAGTTTGCATATCAACACAATCAGATATAATGACACTGAAAAACATATTCGCAACTCATAGAGTTCAAGTTTTCCTGCTAAATAATCTAGAATCTACAAAAAATGCCTGGACAAACTGAATATGAAAGGTCAAACAGATCAAAGAAGCGTCCAAATTATTTGCAGAATATATTTGAACATTCTATAAAATAGAGGCGAAGATATTATATATCATGTTTTGAAATAGCCAAGTCTGTCACATGTTATGGATGACAAGTATTGTTTGATGAATAAAAACTGGGATAATTTTCACCAAAACCTATTCAATATTTTATCTAAACATGATATCAAGTTACCATCTGAATCTCCTAGATCATTTTTTGGAATGCCTACCGAGAAAAGTATCATAATTGTGTTATATTGAATGTATATTATGTATATTTTTGTTCGACTCTCTTTACAAGTTGAAATTTTGTGATGAAAATTTTATGGCACAATTTGCATAATAAAAATCTCGGAGTCAGATTTCAGGAGAGATCAATTAGGAAAGTTTGATGATGTTGTGGACTACGGCCCACCAATTTAACTAAATATTTTTCGATTTTTTATTCATTATTTTGAAAATAACTTACCTTGGCTATGGTCATCTACACATTTAGGTGTATCACCATCCATTTTACATACTTTTGTAGGGGGACACACGTAAGTCGCACAAGTTCTGGCAGCCGAATGTGTGTCCATCTTACAGGTTGGATACCTTTTCACAAAGATGTATTTTACTTAAACAAAAATATTATTCGCAGCTATACTCACGATCCACATTCCCCTTGTCTTTGGTAATAGCTGCATGGATCGGTCTCCATAACACATTTTTGATTACTGGGGCAACCTATGTCTTTACAAGATCGTCCGTATTCTGTAAATCATAAAAATTCAAATAAAACATTTGAAAAATTGTATATGGATGATCGAATAGCTGTAGATGGATGTTATTGCTTCTTTAATATTACTATTCACCAAATTATATACTTCTAGACGGTGACGTTTGAATTCTCGACAATATTTTTGAAAACGTGCTNATGTATCACCCGAACCCCCATGCCATTGAAAAAAATTAGGGTGGTAGTTGCTGACCTCACGGGGGTGAAGTTTCGGGTATGATTTCCATATGAGAATAAGCCCCACTAGAAATAAAAATTGATGTGTCCTTTGAAATTTTTGACTACACGTTCGTTTCTGACTTACAGGGGGGTCAAGTTTTCGTGCAATGCCCTATATTAAGCGTTCTATTGCTGTCAAAACGGTTTTTTCTGATATGTCATTTACATTAATTTCAATAGAACATCTACATACATTGAGAGGGGTAGGTATATTTTTAGGAGAGAATAATTTTTGGGAAAGAAATGTGAGAATGTTTCAAAGACAAGAAGAAGGCGAATAATTTCAAAATAAACTCTATACAAAGATGTGTAGTTCATACAAAGAAATAAGTTTCAGACACAAACTGGAAGAAAAAGTCCTCTCGAATCAGCTACTTTCATATAAACATTGAATTACACCAAAGAAAAAATACTTTTGGAACAACAACTTTCAAATGACCATTGAATTATACAAAAAACACTTTTTCCTTTTCAGTTTGTACGTGCGTTATGGAATTTTGATTCAATTCCAATTGACTTTATTTTGAATATTTTTTTGGAAGATCCCTATATTTTTTTGTCTGAAGGTGGAAAAGTGGAAAGCCAAAATTTTTCTTCTTCAAAAACACTGACTGCTAAACAATGAATCAATCCTTGCTGTTGTAATTGCATCCAACAATTTTTCAGAATCGTCAGATTCACTATGTTTATGAAGTGAATTTATCGCTTTATCAATATCTGTAATGAAAAAGACAGGTCCGTATTTAAAAAAAATGATGGTAGCCATGTTGACACGAAACGTTTCATATTCATTATTACATTGTCATAGTACACTACAATAACATTTTCCTCTTCCATTTTTTGATATTCACCGAAATGAAAATTCTATTCGAAAAAAACGAAAAACATCATTTTTGGTTTTCCCCGTATAACTCGAGAAGGGCGAGAGTCCCCGTAAATTTTTTTCGACCATTGTATTGTTCCCGATGACAGTTACCTTTNACATGTATATAAAAACATCAAGGTAGCCGGGAGATGTAGTCTTGATCATCTCCGGATGATGTTAACTTCGTTAACGAAACGCATTTCGAGAGGAAGTATTTTTGTTCTCGTGTAGGAAATGTGTTTTTGACAGATTCATTTTATACCGAAATACGTTTTGCCGTTTAGTACACTGTTAATGTGTGACAATCTCACAAAGTGTTGTTGAATAATCTATTACGGATTTTCATCTAGCATTGGCCAATTCCATCACAAATTACATGAAAACAATTTGTTCGATTTCAAAAAGTTTGGCAGTGCACATTTGACTTACTTGGATATCCCTGTGGATAACCCTGTTGTGGGTATCCCCCTTGATGGGGATATCCGGCTTGCTGGGGATATCCGGCTTGCTGTGGATATCCACCTCTATTATTTGAATATTGCTGTCCCGGATATCCAGATCCTATCTGGCCACCTTGGTATCCTCCACTCATTGATTGGCGATGAATGTTTGGTCTGGGCGTTGTTTCTCCTCTCGGTATGCTGGGATACAGTTGTGATCCGCCAGAGTGTTGCTGGCCAATAACATTCTGACTTTGTGTGTCATATCCGGCAAGACCAACTGAAAAATTATTAAATAATTGTTTTATTTAAGCGTTGGGTAATATACTGTAACGAATCTGAAGCCGCCTCTGACCGATACGCCAGCCGACTCATCGAAAAAACACATGACCTCACCTCAAGAGAATGAAGTCGGGAACCGCCAGTAAAACTTTAGTACCGAACCGACTACAGAATTCTCGAAAGGACCTTTACCGATATAAGCCCGTCTTTCCGACCCAACAGGGCAGTTCAGAAAGTAAATTGAGCGGCTAAACAAGAAATTCAAATAGTGGAAATAAATTAATGGTTAGTTGCTAAGTGTTCTAATAAATAAATTAGTTTGTGATGATTGAATTATTGTTGGAAATGAATTTTTTCAAAGACAGTTAATTCAATAATTTGTCACAATACGATAAGAGGTTTTAATGTTGTTTAAAACCATGTTGTACTAAATTGATTTGGATTTATAAGAACAGAATGTCAAAGTTTTGAACAACTTATTTTGTTCATGCTAATGGGCTTGTTTCATGATTTTTGGATTATAGTTCACTTGATAGAAATTTCAAATTGAAAAACATTGTGCTTTGTAACAAATTGTTCCTACGCGAGCTGTCAGCTAAGAAAAAGTTGAAACTCAATGTTGCAAAAACAAGCAGAATGGATCCGATATGACATATATTTTCAATGCCGAATAAACCAATAAATTGTGATATGGGTACTCCATTTTCCTGAGAAAATGAACGATCAATTAAAGTTTTCTATAATTATTCATTCATTTTTTTTTAAGAATAAAGCCAGCAAACAAATAAATATACAATAATAAGATCGCTCGAATCCACGAATTGAGCATAAAAATGGACAATAATATTTGCCTTGATAACTGAAAGAAACTTTTCAAACAACCTACAAATCTGCTCATGAACAGGGGACATTGGCTATGAAGCTATAAAGGGGATCAGGGGGTTCCCACTGCCGTGCTTTCGTGCTGTATGTTGAGACTGTTGTTGATCTGGAAGCAATTCTATTTCATGCATATTATTGTTAGTTGTATCCGTACGTAGTTTTCAATTACTTCTCCATTGATATCTGTTTTTCCGTTAATCAGCTTTCACCCTCATACGAACGACAACTCTCAGAAGTTGAGAAACTTGTGCGAGCTAAGGACTAACGAGGTTTTACATTTTAACGTGTGATTACTAACACGGAATACCTTCAATATTCAATAAATTTTGGTATAGGGACACTTGGAAACAACGAGGATGCATCAAGGTTCACAGTTAGATGTAAGGAGTTAGTCTACTGAATCTCCTGAATACGACAACTTGATTAGTGAAACGGGCGTCGAGAAGAGTGTTGCAGTTTTGGTGTTTGGTAACAGTGCTTGTTTCAGATTTATTTCACGCAAGAGGTTCCAGTCCTACCTTATAATAAATAATAAGGTAAATAGTCATAACATCCACCCCTCCTAGGGGGTTGAACCCCGAGGGTTGAAAATATTCATTCAGAGTGTCCCCCTTGCAAATAAAGTTGACCTGTCTGACCATTATTTCATATTATGTACTGGAAGGGAGATATTGAGGGTTGGAAGTTTTCAAATTGACACACTGTATATCAAGTAAGTAAGCCAATTTCATCAACCATTGCTCATCATGCAGAAGTTCAACAAGTGTACTAACAGATACAGGAACAAGCATACTAACAGGAAGATTAAAACTTCCTCTTTGAAGATGATCACTTGGTGATCGAAACACGTGTCGAGGTGTTAAAAATAACGATTTGGTGTTGGGAAAAAACTCCATTAATATTCATTACTACACCAAAGGTTCCAAACAGTGCATCATAAACCTTTCTGAACTAATATAAAGTTATTATTCATTATTCGATGTGTTCAATAATACATTTTTCACCGAATTTTGTATTTGAAATGTTATAATTGTGTAGAAGCAAAAAAATTATAGAAGAATTCACATCTCATGGGCGGCCAGAGATAGGTATAAGACATATTCGATCAAAGTTGTTCACATTGGTTGGTTAAATTAGAAAATTGAATAATATACAGGGTGTTCCATTTGAAAAATCAAAGTTGCTACTGCTTTCTAATAGAAGCGGCAACACCGCATTGTCGAAAATATTTTAGTTGGCTAGAGAATGTCCGAATATGCCCTCCATTAAATTTTCAAAGTGATCCGTTGTCTGGTTCACCAGAAACGTCTAATGTGCCATCCACCGTGAATCAGCCTGTATAGTTTAAGGAACTAAAAAACACGCTTTTAAAGAACATCGAACTAAAAAGTTGAAAATATTTTTTTAATTGAGCTTAAAACAATAACGAACGAAAAATACTAGTATTATTGTGGGACATCTAAACTTTGGGATCAATCAGCCGTATATTGAAAAATGACCTTTGATATTTTCCGATTCCGGAGAGGGAGCCTGAAAATCAGCTACCAAGCCCAAGGCAGCAGGCGCGCGTGTTAATAAAATACTTTTTTCAAATGAAGAAATACATGTAAAAGAAGTTTGAATTATATCAAGAAGGTTACGTACAGCGCCATCTGCCGCGAATAGATCAAGCAATAATGTCGATAATTCTGTCAAATACAGATACCGAGCTTGAGAGTTACAAACAAACAAACATACATACAGGTGAAGCTAATATAAAGCGTGTAAAAATACCATGTTTCCGCCAAAAAAATTAAAAAATAATTAATATTTTAATAACGGTGAGAGATAGCTATAGAACACGATTCGCAAAAGTAATTTGGATTTCAATGCAGATTTCAAAAATTCAATATATAGGGTGTTCCATTTGAAATTTCCAAGTTGACGTCTGTTACATGTAGATGTGGTTAAAATGCTGTGATGAAAATATTTTCAAACGATAAATTATAGACATCTACATCGGTAACCGAAATTTGAAACTCTTATCTTTTTTTGTTCTCTAGATACGTCTAATAGACCCTCGAATATGGTCAATCGTTCACAACACGTGCAATCTAGTGTCCGACCAGAAGTTCTGTTTCGGTTTCAGTAGAGTTTCGGCAAAAAAACGGGTTTCGGTTTCGGCAGCAAATCTGCCGAAACTACGACCGAAACTGAAACTGCATTCGGGAGTTCTCGCGCTGTGATCGGTCATGTTCGGCGCGTTGGATTTCATACAAGCGACGAAGGAAGACATTTTGCCGCATACACTTGC